TATATATATATATATATATATATATATATATATATATAAAAATTTCATATGGAGAATAAGCTTATTAACCGACGAAAAATAAAATTCGTCAGTCTTATTGAACCCCAGTATAGACTGAGTTCGTGTTGGACTTAGTAATTTCACTATGAAAGCAATTAAAATGTTAAAAATAACCGTCGAATAACTAATACATAATTTATCCATTTCAATGTTTCAGTCAGACGAAAATCACGAAACAGTGGTCAAGGGTGGGTGGAAGCTATTAGTCTTAAAGGGAAGAGGTTTTGTAAAATTAAACCCAGATATCAACCTCATGACAGTAAATTGGTGTTATCGGAAGAATAAAATGTTAATTTAAATCTAAGAGGAATAAAAATGGGTTTAAAATAATTATATATAACGTTATATTTAAAAATACAAAATCATACTTAAAATCTCTATTCTAAAGACAAGTTATATTTTAAAATTCGACACATTTAAATAATTTATATTAGAACGAAAAAAGTTTATCCATTTTGTTTCTTACCAGTCGAGATGCCGATGCATCGAAACAAGAATGCATCTTTGTAGTGAGGGAGTTGATTTTGTCCGTATATACATATTATAATAAAAATATATATATACTTTAAATATATATATATATATATATATATATATATATATATATATATATATATATATATGTACAAAATTTAATCACAAATTAAAGTGTGAAAATTAATTGATATTACCAGACATATTAAAAACAGGTTTGTCGGTTTCCTCCCGCTCTTCAGGCTTCCAAGGAGATTTAATTTAAATTAAAAACACAGAAAATGTACAATGAAAAGGAAATGCGGAGGAAAAAATATGAACACAAGGAGCTAGAGACAAATAACAGCGAGCCCAACACATATTCACGCTGTTTACACAGGGAAGGCTTGCGGGACCCGATGTTAATTACCTCCAGCAATGGACGTGTCCCATATACCTATGGTTCCGCCATGTGTGAGCACCTCTTAAATAACAGAGGGTTTGCAGCTAACTTTAGTGTCGACTGGTTCATACTGTTGTCCCGGTCACACCTTTTTATTTCACCTCAATGTGCTTTTATTTCACCTCCACATTTCCTTTTCATTGTACATTTTCTGTTTTTAATTTAAATTAAATCTCCCGTTGAGCCCTGAAGAACCTAAAAATATTTTTTTGCTTCACCCTTTTTAATATGAGTGTAATATCAAGCTTCAGACTTTTATTTCCCATATATATATATATATATATATATATATATATATATATATATATATATATTGTCAACTACAGACAGACTGTTTCGATTTATCACAGCTCAACAGTGTGTCTAGACATCATATAATATATATAAATATTATTTAATATAATTTTTACATACGGACTAAATCAACTTACTCACTACAAAAATGCTTTCTTGTTTTTGGTTCTCATCCATCGAGATGCATCCGCATCGAAGCAAGACTGCATGTTTGTAGTGAGTAAGTCTTTTTTTTTTCGTATGTAAAAATTATGATAAATAATTACCAGTCAATCTGCTCTTAAATATATTGAAATATATATATATATATATATATATATATATATATATATATATATATATATATAAATATAAATATTTCTATGACAAAATAAAAGGATATCATAGGTAAGTATGATATATGCGTGTAGAATAGCGGTAATTAGTGAGAGTAATGGAATTGGTGTGCTGAGTTCGAATTCTAGCGGAGGGAGTTGCGTTCGCTTTTGCGCAATTATCTTTGTAATGGTATAAATCTATCTCTTCTCCACTCAGCTATGGGTTGAATAAAAGGGTAGACTGTACACTCTACCATTGGTAGGAAACGAATACAAGAGAAAGCGAAATCTGAATTTAAATCTTGTTAGACGTAAAAACCTCCCTACTACGGAGGCCACAGCAAAAACACTTAGATTACGGAGACGTGAAGTTTGAAACAAATAAGTAAGAATAAATTTTAAAATTGTTATTGTGAAAAAAATTATTTTTTTTTTTTAACACCCATTTCTTTTTTTTTTATGTCTTCATTTCAGACTATTTACTTTTCTTTTTCTTTTTCAGACTATGACTATTACTGGGGTCCTTAAGACCGCCCGTCTCCTTCGCCTCCTCCGCGTCTTGCGGAGAATCGAGCAATTTGCAGAGTACGGAGCTGCCGTTCTGCTCTTGTTGATGGTGTCATTCACGTTGATCGGCCACTGGCTGGCCTGTATCTTCTACGCCATCGCGAACATGGAGCGGCCTCACCTCAAGGCCAAAGTGGGCTGGTTGGACAATCTGGCGCAAACTCTGAATGAACCCTATTTGCCGAACGACACCACTAGTGGCCCCAGCATTCGGACCAAATACCTCACAGCACTCTATTTCACCTTCACCAGTCTCACCAGCATCGGCTTTGGAAACGTTGCACCCAACACCAATGCTGAGAAGATATTTTCCATATTTGCTATGTTGCTGGGATGTGAGTACCATCGTTTACATATTTCTGCATTTTTTTATTTTCTACTTTCACTTTCTCTTTCGTTATTGTTTTGTTGACACTACATCTAAAGAATTTTTATTTCAAGGAATAATCTTTATAGATTGGGATTCATAAGACCTTCCTCAAACAACAACACATGTCAGAAAAATATTGATATTTTATAAATTTAGGGATACTTGTTCATAACATCGATACGATATAAAATCGATCTCTGATGTTTTTTTTATTGAGATACTGGACTTAACTGTTATTTACAAATGTTAAGATTGAAACTGTTTACATCGTTGATATATGCATAATGCTTATCATTTTCAGAATTTAAAAAAATCTTTTCTGAGGGTGAGGATTTTTTCAGAAACACATGTACAACATTGCAGGATAATGGGTATTTATATTAAATGAAGAATAAGCGGATATATACGTATATTAATTAATGTAAGATTTACCTCTTTAATGTATACGTCCGTGTTTTTTTAAATTTATTTATAAGTTATTTTTGTTTTGTAAAAATCTGTTTTCGTACACTGAATAGTTAAGTCGAGATAATTCTGTGAAAAATATAGGGATCGATATTATGAAGAAAACCTATCTGTTCTAAAAGAAAATCTAAATTTAAGTTTAATGAATGCTAATGTACAAAAATTATTTTCAACAAAAAACTTTCCCTACATTTTTTTTAAAGTGTGGACGAGTGTATCTGAATAGTTTCGTTTTATTTTTGAAAACGCTGGCAAAAAGAACTAGCCATGTGATTGGTTGATTCCAACCGGAATTGACCAATCAGATTGTTAAAGCAATTGTTGCACTGGAATTTACATTTACTAGAGGATTAGCTGACTATATTATCTTAAGACATATCGCACTCTACGAGACGACATTTTCTTTTTTGTCGTTCTCCCTGTTTTTTGTAGCTGTGTTTATCCTTCCTTTATTTGTCTATACCTGCGCTATCACTCTCCCCACCGTTTTTCTCCTCGTACTTTTTTTTTTTTTTTACCTCTATTTTAAGTTACAATTTCGTCGGGGGGAAACATTTGTTTAATCTTCAACCGAGACATCATTTCGTCAATGCAGCAGTCATATGGCAATAGTGTTATCTCCACAAGTTCGTTGCATGTTTTATCACTTGAGGAAATAATAGAAAAAAAAACATCGCTTCCCACAACTCCAACGTCACGGCATGATGCGCAAAATTGTTTTTGAGGCATTTGCTTTCAAAATTTAAATTATCTTCTTTCAAAAGGTTTCCGATGCCGATTTCAACACCCAGTGGTAATGTCTAAAAATTCACTCTTTACATCATTGAGTTCGAAGACGTGTTTGAGAAAAGAACGAAAATAAGTATTTATTTTTTTTAATTTTAAAGTAGTTTCTGCTATAAAACTGGCAAAGTCGCCATTACTCGACTGTATTAAACATTGGCGCATGCGTAGATGGAGACACCAATAAGCCTAATGATGCAATAGAGCATCTTCTTAATAAATGCACATGTTGGTACATCAATATACCTGTAGCGCATTCAAAAAAGCTTGTAACTCCCTGAAGAGTAGACAGACATATAACACCAAGGCAAAAACAAATAAAGTACTAACCATTAAATAAAACCATTAAATAAAGCCATTAAATAAAAAATGAAACATTGAATAACCGATAACCGATAACAAGATCTAACCAAACACTTACATATACACTATTTAACAATTACATATATGTGCACATGTGCAAAATGAGTGCACTTCATACTGAAAGTTACTACTATATATATATATATATATATATATATATATATATATATATATATATATATATATATATATATATTCATATTTCTCATTAAACCCCTTCCACTTTTTCTCCTAAAATTCTCTCTGTTAAGGTTTAATCTCCCCTCTCTTCTCTAGTCTGTTAACCCTCATATTTTACACTCTCTCTAAATTCTGTTTTTATTTCCGGATTGTTTTTTCTGTTTTCTTTTTTTTTTTGAATTTGTAGGTCTGATGAATTGTATCGTATTTACGATTCCAATGGAATAAATTATGACCATGGGATATTAGTGTTTAAGCCTTTTTATTATATCCTTACTCTGTCCTGGACATTGAGTTCTACCTGGATTCTATCTTCTTGGAATTTTTATTCAAAAAATACATGTATATTTGTATTCAAAGTATATTTATATATTTTGCATATGTATGTGTATATTTACCACTAATATTATCTATCTATCTATCTATCTATATATATATATATATATATATATATATATATGTGTGTGTGTGTGTGTGTGTGTGTGTGTGTGTGTGTGTGTGTGTGCAAATATATAGAAAATAGGAAAGAACCGTTAGGTTAATAATCCGAAGTTCTTTAGTATTTTTGTTTTATTTAAAAAAAACAGTGCTCAATACACACGTAGAGCCTAAATTATAATCATCTTTTTTTTTTAAATATGATTTCATCGCTACATAAGAGTTCTCATGTTTCAAAAACAGAAGC